GAGTTTTTCTTAACTTTATCTTCCATTCTTTTATTAAGCTTTTCATTTTTGCTAGTATATTTTCAATTTCTAAGAACTCTTTTTTAAAGTTTATTTATTTATTTTTTTAGTAATCTTTACCCAACACGGGACTCAAACTCACAACCCCAAGATCAAGAGTCACATGTTCTTCCAACTGAGCCAGCCAGGCACCCTGCTAAGAACTCTTTTTCTGATCTTTTCATTTTTATAGTATTATTTGATAGTATCCTATGTTTTATGATATGCTATTCAAAGTTGAATATCTTGTCTTGTTTCTCTGGTGATATTGGTAGTTGTTGGGTTTTTTGCATTTTTTCCTCTCTGCATAATCTGTTTCCTCCAAGTCCCCCTGCACCATTTGTTGCTTTTGTTTCTATCTTTCTTATTGAGACTTTACTGATGTCTAGTAATCCTCAGTGGTCTCTACCTATTTGGGAGTGGAAGTCCAAAACTCTAGAAGTGGTGGGCCTCTGATTACAAGAGCAGGGTTGTTGAATGAACTTCACAGTAGATGATCTGTCTGGACCATTTTTGTTGTGGATTTCCCAATGTCAGTATTTTCCTGTCTTTTATCTTAGTCATATACATATATATATATGTAATACATATGTATATGTGTGTATATGTCATATACATATTATATATGTAATGTTTTTAATATAGCAAGGAACAAGGAAAACAAACACTGAATCATGATCTCCCTGACAAAATAACCCTTAATGATATGAAATTAAAAGACATTCATTCAGGGGCACCTGGCTGGCTCAGTTGGGAGAGCATGTGACTCTGGATCTCTGGGTTGTGAGTTCAAGTCCCACATTAGGTGTAGATTACTTAAATAAATAAATAAACTTAAAAGAAGAACTCATTCATTCATCCATCCATCCAATAAGTATTTATTAAGATTTCCTTGCACCAGGCACTGGGCTAGGCACGGAGGGTATGGCAGTGAACAAATCGAAGTCCTTGCTCTCTTGGACCTTCCATTCCAGTCTGGGAGACAGACACATGTGTGTTCCTAGAGCATCGGTCTCCAATAGCCCTCTCTGCAATGAGAGAAATGTTCTAGATCTGTGCAATCCCATGTGGTAGCCAAGCAGTTCCTGGTCATTTGACATGTGGTTGGTGTGACTAAGGAACTGAATTCTTAAATTTTTTTGAACTTTTAAATTTTAATTAAAAATTCAAATTCAAATAGCTCTATGTGGCTAGTGGTTACCACCATGGACAGCACCAGAAAATTCCATCCTTAAAGAGGGGTAGGAGGGAATTGGCAGCCTCACATGGTGTTGTCTGGCTCACACACCACATGTGGTCTCATCCTACCACAGAGGGCAAACAAGCTCACAAGAAGAGAAGGGAAATACATCTCTTAAAAAGAAATACAGAAACACGGCTTCTCCTCCCAGCCAGTTCTGGAAGCCCATTTGGTGAGAGATGTTCAATTTCTCACTCACACAGGAAGGGCAAAAAGGAAACCTCAAGTCCCCTTTCCATAAAGTAAGCATTTTTTTTTTTTAATTTCTCTCTGATCACCTAAACTATGTGTGCATACACACCTCTTTATGCATTCCTTACTGAAAGCACACACTGTTCTCATCTTGCTTTTTCCATGGAGAAAAAGCTTTTGGCATCTCTTCCATATTAATGAAGTCTTGCCTCCCAGCTCCATGCCTGGCCCAGAGAATGCCCATCCTGAAGCAGCCTGAATTCATTCATTGAGCTATACTTTATGAAACACCTGTCGTATGTCAGGTGCTATTCTAGACCCCGTGGATACAGCAGTGAACCAGACAGACAAGACCTGTTCCCTCATGGAATTTAAATTCCAGTGGGAGGAGATGGACCATAAGCTTAATAACCAAGAACACATTATAGTTACAAGGGGATACGTGCTATGGACAAAAATACAGCCGGGTGAGTGAGTTTGGGAGACCTGGGGAAAAGGCCACAGGTTGCAGTATTAAATAAGGTGCTCAGGAAGGTGTCTTTTAAGCAAACACTTGAAGGAAGTGAGGGACAGAGCCAGGCAGCTATCTGGAAGAATGTTCCAGCAGAGGGAACAGCCAGTGCAAAGGCCCTGAGGCAGGAGGGTGCTGGAACCATCCAGGAACTGCGCATGAAGGCCAGGGTGGCTGGAGCAGGGTGAGCAAGGAAGGCGTGGGTGGGAGATGAGGGCAGAGGGGTAGGAGGGATCCAGGGGTGTTTGGTGCTGTAGGGCCTTGTAATGCGAAGTAACTCCAGTTACTGAGTGAAGTGGGGAGCCAGGGGAGGGTAGTGAGCCGAGGAGGAACCGGAAGCTGACTCAAATGTTAAGATCCCTGTGGCGACAGGGCAGGAATAAACAGGAAAGCAAAGACAGATGCAAGGATTTTTCATTTTTCCCAAACCTAAGCCTAAACAAAGGGTGTGGAATGTGGCTGAGTCTCGGTAGAGGTTTAGTGACAATGGCAGGGGATAGGGAGTAGGGGGTAGGGGAAGGGAGGTAGGCATTATATTGCATAAGGACTGAGCAAAGGATTAAAAGTGAAGGCTCGGGGCGCCTGGGTGGCTCAGTTGGTTAAGTGACTGCCTTCGGCTCGGGTCATGATCCTGGAGTCCTGGGATCGAGTCCCACATCGGGCTCCCTGCTCGGCGGGGAGTCTGCTTCTCCCTCTGACCCTACCCCCCTCATGTGCTCTCTCTCTCATTCTCTCTCTCAAATAAATAAATAAAATCTTTTTAAAAAATAGAATAAAAAATAAAAGTGAAGGCTCTTTAGATACCCTCTTCCTGAAAGCCCCTCAAACCTCCCCGCCACTGGAAGCCTTGATTTTTGGCCCTCTCTGCAACGCCCCCTGGTCTGTCCCCCCACCCCACATACCTCTCCCTTGTGCCCCTCGAGGACCTCTGGACACCCTCCTTCTGTTTTATTCTAGTTCTCAGCCCCTCCATCCCTCCTCTTCAGCCTGACTCTGGAAACCCCCAGCTCTTTCCACTTAAACCGGGGAAGCAATTCACCTTTTGCTCCCAAGGGCATTTTCCTAAACAAAGAGAAACCTAGAGAGAAATTGTAGTTTGCCTGCAAGGCAGCGGTGCCCGCAGCTGGTTGTGGTATTTTTCTTGCCTCTCTCTCTATATATATGTTTCCAGATGTCAGCTGGGATCTCCCTGCCTGTTAGGAGCCATATAAAATTAATTCAAACCCCATTCTCCAACCATGCGATGGTGACTGGTCTCCCAGTTTCTGGAGGAGTTTCTGCTCCTTCTCCAGAGCCTCACATTCTTTGCCCCACCCCCAAGTTTTTGCTTCGGCTGGAGCGCATTCAGTGTGGGGAATCTGCTGACTGTCTCCCCATTTGGGGTCCATGGACTAATTCTGTCCTTTTCCTTCATTTCTCTGCAACCAGTCATGTTGCAGAAATGCAACAGGGCATTTATGTGCTCATGTGTGAGAGTGTGGACAGGGCTTTACTGAAGATTTGGGGTCCCAGAGGCATTTACACCCACAGATAGGCAAACAGCTCCAAAACTCCTTTGCCTTCTCCACGACCCAGCTTCCAGCCACAGGCCTTGATCTCTCTCGTTTTCCCTAGACCTTCGCTGTCCAAGACTATTTAAATTTAAATTAATTAAGTTTTTTAAAAAGATTTTATTTATTAGAGAGAGAGAGATAGTGACAGCAGGAACACAAGCAGGGGGAGTGGGAGAGGGAGAAGCAGGCTTCCCACCGAGCAGGGAGCCCGATGCGGGGCTCGATCCCAGGACTCCAGGATCATGACCTGAGCCGAAGGCAGACGCTTAACGACTGAGCCACCCAGGTGCCCCTAAATTAATTAAAATGTAAAGTTCTGTCCCTTGGGCTTATTGGGCACGTTTTTGTGTGGCTGGTGGCCGCCACGTTGGGCAGCACAGGAGGGCCATGCCCATCATTGCGGAGCGTTCTTTCGGACAATGCTGGGCAAGACAGATCCTTCCCTCTAAGAACTGGCCTGGTGTCTGCAGTCGAGATGACCAAAATTGCACCCCACAAAATGCACCGTTTAAAAAAAGTTAATGTGGAGTTATGCTCTATATGGGATTCCCAGACTTTTTTTTTTTTTCCTCACGGATACATCCTGGACATCTTCATGTCAGATCATAGGCATGTATCTTGTCTCATAGAATAGTTACCCAGTGTTGCCCGCCACGGGCTTATTTATTCGCTCATTCACTTATTCCACAACTATTTACAACCACCGTGTATGTGCCAGGAATTGTGCTGGGTCACAGCCTGGAGTGTGTCCCAGCTGGATCCTGCTCGAGTGGAGCTCACAGTCTCATCGAGAGGCTGAGATTAATCAAATAATCACAGAACTATGTGTGAAGGAAGCGACAGGTGGCGTGTGCCACAATGTATCCATCTGTGAGCGCTCGTTCCATCTCCCTGCTTGTCTTCCCATCAAGGTTTAGAAATTAGGGCCCTAGTGGGAGAAGCGAAGCAAAGTAAGATGCGTGTCTGGGCCTGCATTTCCCATCTGAATGATGGAAGTAACAGTTTCTACCTCACGGGAACGTTGAGAGGATTGAATGAGTTATGACTGTGGCTGCAACAGTGTCTATAGCCCAATATAAGTGATCGTTAGCATTATTACTCTGTGTATGAGTCCCCTTTCTGAGCCTCCGTCCTCCCCTATAAAGTGGAGGAGTATGCAGAACCTTCTGCGGAGGGCTTCCGTGAAGACTGAACGTATCAGTCACGGCTAACCTGTCTCCAGCACTTTCTTGGCACCAAGCGCCATCTTACCTTTTTGCAATGACCAGGAAGGGAGGCATTGCTGTTACCGCCACTTTACAAATGGAAACCCAGGCACCAAGGAGAGGTACAGTGACTTGCTCAAGAGTTTACCACTGGTCAGGACTTGGAGCAGTTGGAGGTTAGGGGGGAGGGGGGTTCTGGGCTGGGCCATGAGGGCATCTGGGTGGGACTGACCCTGCCTTTCATGCCCCCTGGCCCCCAGGAAGCTGGACGCCTTCATCTATGATGCAGCTGTGCTCAACTACATGGCCCGCAAGGACGAGGGCTGCAAGCTCGTCACCATCGGCTCGGGCAAGGTCTTTGCCACAACGGGCTACGGCATCGCCCTGCACAAGGGCTCCCGGTGGAAGCGGCCCATCGACCTGGCGCTGCTGCAGTTCCTGGGGGATGGTGCGCTGCACACAGGGATGCCTCGGGGGTGGGGCGTGAGGGACCAGAGCCCTGGGTCCTGGGCAAAGGAAGGGATGAGGAGCAGGACACCAGGGTCCGAGGGAAGAGGGGGCTGGGCGCCTAGACTCCGATAAGAGGATCCTCGGGACGGTGCCCGTGGAAGGTGCCCTGTGACAGCCCTCCCCCGCCCCCCTTTCTCCAGATGAGATCGAGATGCTGGAGCGGCTGTGGCTCTCCGGGATCTGCCACAATGACAAAATCGAGGTGATGAGCAGTAAGCTGGACATCGACAACATGGCAGGCGTCTTCTACATGCTCCTGGTGGCCATGGGCCTCTCCCTGCTGGTCTTCGCCTGGGAGCACCTGGTGTACTGGCGCCTGCGTCATTGCCTGGGGCCCACCCACCGCATGGACTTCCTGCTGGCCTTCTCCAGGGTAGGGGGGAGAGAGGGAGGCAGGAGGGCAGAGCCGGGGCGGGGAGCCGGGCGGGGATGCCTACAAGTGGAGGAGACCTGGGCCGAGCTGCGGGAGAGGCGGGAGGGGCGGAGGGAAGGCAGGCGGTCCCGGGCAACCGGCGCTGACCCCGCTTCTCTCGCGGCGCCCCCGCAGGGCATGTACAGCTGCTGCAGCGCGGAGGCCGCCCCGCCGCCCGCCAAGCCCCCGCCGCCGCCGCAGCCGCTGCCCAGCCCCGCGTACCCGGCGGCGCGGCCCGCGCCCGGCCCCGCGCCTTTCGTGCCGCGCGAGCGCGCAGCGGTGGACCGCTGGCGTCGCGCCAAAGGTGCCGGGCCCCCGGGGGCCGCGGGCCTGGCCGACGGCTTCCACCGCTACTACGGCCCCATCGAGCCGCAGGGCCTGGGCGTGGGCGAGGCGCGCGCGGCGCCGCGGGGCGCGGCCGGGCGCCCGCTGTCCCCGCCGGCCGCGCAGCCCCCGCAGAAGCCGCCGCCCTCTTACTTCGCCATCGTGCGCGACAAGGAGCCGCCCGAGCCCGCCGCCGCCGCCTTCGCCGGCTTCCCGTCGCCGCCCGCGCCCCCCGCCGCCGCCGCCACCGCCGTCGGGCCGCCGCTCTGCCGCCTGGCCTTCGAGGACGAGAGCCCGCCGGCGCCCGCGCGCTGGCCGCGCTCCGACCCCGAGAGCCAGCCCCTGCTGGGGCCCGGCGCGGGCGGCGCGGGGGGCGCGGGCGGCGCGGGCGGCGGGGCCCAGGCCGCGCCCCCCCCGTGCCGCGCCGCGCCGCCGCCCTGCCCCTACCTGGACCTCGAGCCGTCGCCGTCGGACTCGGAGGACTCGGAGAGCCTGGGCGGCGCGTCGCTGGGCGGCCTGGAGCCCTGGTGGTTCGCCGACTTCCCCTATCCGTACGCCGAGCGCCTCGGGCCGCCGCCCGGCCGCTACTGGTCGGTCGACAAGCTCGGGGGCTGGCGCGCCGGCAGCTGGGACTACCTGCCCCCGCGCAGCGGTCCCGCCGCCTGGCACTGCCGCCACTGCGCCAGCCTGGAGCTGCTGCCGCCGCCGCGCCATCTCAGCTGCTCGCACGACGGCCTGGACGGCGGCTGGTGGGCGCCGCCGCCCCCGCCCTGGGCCGCGGGGCCCCCGCCCCGGCGCCGAGCCCGCTGCGGGTGTCCGCGGCCGCACCCTCACCGCCCGCGGGCCTCGCACCGCGCGCCCGCCGCCGCCGCCGCCGCCCCGCACCACCACCGGCACCGGCGCGCCGCGGGGGGCTGGGACCTCCCGCCGCCGGCGCCCACCTCGCGCTCGCTCGAGGACCTCAGCTCGTGCCCCCGCGCCGCCCCCGCGCGCAGGCTCACCGGGCCCTCCCGCCACGCGCGCCGGTGCCCGCACGCCGCGCACTGGGGGCCGCCGCTGCCCGCCGCGCCCCACCGGAGACACCGGGGCGGGGACCTGGGTACCCGCAGGGGCTCGGCGCACTTCTCCAGCCTCGAGTCCGAGGTATGACGCGGCCCCGGGGGCCCCAGCGCCCCCTCGGTCAGCGCAGGCCACGGCCCGAGGGGGCACGCGCAATGAACGGGACCCGCGTGGGTTGGGAAGGAGCAAACGGACCTGGCCGGACCCCGCCTGGAGCAGCGTCCTGCGCCCCCTCGCCTTGGGGGCACCACGAGCCGGAAGGGATTTGGGCCCCCCAAATCTCACCCAGCCTGAAAGGTGGGGGTCTCGGAGCCCACTGGAGATTTTGGTTTTTTTTTTAAACCCGACAAGGGCTTTTTAACGTCACCAGATGGGGCGGGAGGTGGGGGGTCACGCCACGCCCGCGTCCCACCCCCACGCCCGGGGCCGTGGCCCCCTCATCACTGTGCAGCTCCCCGGCCCCAGCCGCGCCTCCGGGGAAGCCCGTTTTTAACCTTTCATCCATTGGGACTCAAAACTGTGAGACGCGTTCGCCAAACTGTGACCCCAGACCTTGGCCCCGCCACACAGAAACCCCTGACCCCAGACTGTGACTTCCGACCCCTAAAAATGGTCATCCGACCCCAGACTGTGACCCCCAACCCCAAACTGTGACCCGAATCCCAGACTGTACCCCGACCAGACTGTGACTCTTGACGTCAAACCTTGACACACCCTCCTCCTTTTCCATCCTCGGTCGCTTTTCCTTATTTTGACCTAGGACACTCCCAACGGAAGCCCCGCCTCCCCCTGCCCTAGCGTGGATCCCAACCAACATCGGGCCAAAACTTCCCACCCTGTCGCACCTCACTACCAGCCCCACGTGCCACCAACCACAGCCTCACCAAATCCAGCCCTTATTTGTGACCCTCCCATGATGACCCTGCAGAACCCCCCCCCCCCCAAAAAAAGCCTCCTCTTCCTAGATCTCCAGCCGGGTCTGGAGCTGGGGTGTGGAGGGGACGGTCTGGGACTCCACACCCACCACCAACCTCCCCTCCCACTCTCCTGTTACACATTGCAGTGTTTGGAATAAACCATGTTTTTATGCCTCCTCAGTCCAAGTGTGAGCTCCATGTTTGTCTCAGCCGCCCTCAAACTTCTCTGGAGGAAACAGAAACTGAGAAAAGTCCCACAGAGGAAGAGAGGGCAGAAAGAAAATTATATTGAGAACACTGACCCTGGAGGGAGGTGGGAGACAAAGACCCACAAGGAAGCTGTGAGAAAAGATCCTAAGAAGAGAAGGAATGAGAAGGGGTGAGGGCGGACAGAGACCTAGAGAGAAGGAGGAACAGCGAACTCAACAAAGATCCAGGATCAAAACATTTCAGGATTAAGTCTAGGGTCCCGTTCCTATGGCTGCAAGCATCGCAGCTTGCTAGATTCTTCATAGCCTGTTCATGCAAGCGAGGGGAGAGTCTATTATATCCTAGCCAATCCACCTACCTTGAATGCCGTTAATCTCACCAGTGAGAATCTGTTTCTAGCATTTCATTATGGCAATTAGCCAAACCTCTGGTGCTGATGAGCGATAAAGAGAGCCGAAGCACTTGTAATAGTGGTCTCCAGAGGGCTGACTTTCTGATTAAGGGCTCGCTGACCACAGCTGCAATGTGAACGCCTGGTTAGGCAATTGACTGCCCCAAGAGGGTAGATTCAACCGACCAACTTACACATATCATCCTGTCTACACTAAAGCATTTTGAAGTGAATTAAAGCCATCATAAAAAGGAGGGGAAAGGAAACGGGCTTTATGGGTCCTCGGGGAGCAAAAACTCAAGTCTACTTGCCAGTAAGAACTCTTATTTGCATAAATGAATAATGTAGCAGAAAGGAAGCAATGAGAGTCAAAGGTGGAAGATGGAGTCGGAGCTCGGAACTCCTCCAGTAGGAGAAAACTGGCCTGGTACAGAACTACAACTCCCATGAGGCCTTGCCGCTGCTCTGCGGAAAAGCGCCGCAAAGTCACGCGAAGGGTGTAGAGTTCTTCGCATCCGCAGGCCTCGGTCGCTAGGCTGGGACGCCGTTACCTTAGCTCTCCTTCACCCTCTCGCCACCGCCCTCTCAAATTGGTGAGCTGGGTGGTTTCCAAGGCAACCGTGCAGCCGGGCGGCTCTCCGAAGGAGAAAACCGCAACCCGGAAGTGACGTCCTTACCTCGCGCCCGCGGTGAGAGGGTTCGAAGATGGCGGCGCGCAAGGGTAGGCGGCGCACGTGTGAAACCGGGGAACCCATGGAGGCCGAGTCCAGCGACGCAGGGACCGAAGGCCCGGCCCAGGTCTACCTGCCCGGCCGCGGACCACCGCTGCGCGAAGGAGAGGAGCTGGTCATGGACGAGGAGGCCTACGTGCTGTACCACCGAGCGCAGACTGGTAGGGCTGAGCACCGGGCTCCTGGGCCCTGAGTTAGGAGGGGACCGGAATCCTGAGTCCTGAGCGGGGCTGGTTCCGAGTTTTTAACTTACGAGGCACTCTGAGAAAAGGCTGTGTTGTAAGACGGATGAAAACATCACGCGCGAGGCGGCTGAGATCTCTGTCCCATCCTGATTTTCCAACCCCTTCTTCTATCCCCAGGAGCCCCCTGTCTTAGCTTCGACATAGTCCGGGATCACCTGGGAGACAACCGGACAGAGCTTCCTCTTACACTTTACCTGTGTGCTGGGACCCAGGCGGAGAGCGCCCAGAGCAACAGGTGAGTGAGACCTGAGGTTTTATCCAGGACCAGGAGCCTGAGCCCCCAGCTCCCCCTCCCCCAGGACCTAGAAGTCGGGGTTTCCAGCTTCTCTCCTCCCTCCCTCTTAAGGACCCTGGCATCCAGTGCCTCACTCACCCCACACTTTCCCCCAGACTGATGATGCTTCGGATGCATAATCTGCATGGGACAAAGCCCCCGCCATCGGAGGGCAGCGATGAGGAGGAGGAGGAAGATGAAGAGGATGAAGAAGAGCGGAAGCCTCAGCTGGAGCTCGCTATGGTGCCCCACTATGGCGGCATCAACCGAGTCCGGGTAGATACAGTCCCAGGAGCCCTCTCTACATTCTCTGACCTCCTCCTCAACCCCCTCGTCCATGCCTTTCAGCTTTTAGAAAAGTACTGGCACGTAATTTTAATATGTTAGTTTATATATGTCTTAGCTATCGTCATTGGCGCTGTGTGCTAGGAGAAATAAGGGGGCTGTTTTTTACCTTCTTTCCTCTTCAGTACAATGGTGAAAATTGCAGAACTTGCCTGATGAGGTGACTGGAGGGTGAAAGGGAATAACCTACAGTTGTTTTGGGTGTCTAGAGACAGCATCTGGTTCTAGTGTACAGATGTGTGTTTTCTGTTATTGCTCAGTAACTGTCCTGGGCTGTGGGGTCACTTTGTGCTGCTGACTTACAGCGCCTTCGGAGCAGGCTGATGTGTGAATTAAATGAAACGATGCATGAGCAGCATTCAGGGCAGTGCTTGTTCCCATTCAAGGGTTACCAGTTTTCATCAGACGAGATCAGGCACATTCGGGGTGGTATGGCTGTAGACAGGAGTTACCATGTTTCATGCACCGTTCTGTGCCCTGGGGATTTAACAGAGAGCAGAAGGTCTCTGGTTTTGTGAAACTTACATGCTAGCAGGGAAGGGAGCAAGCAGAAACTAAATGCATCCAGAGGTGCCAAATGTTGTGGAGAAGAGTAAAGGTAAGGGAAGGGAATTAGGATGTTCCTAGAGTGAATTTGCCTTTTTTTTTTTTTTTTTTAGATTTTATTTATTTATTTGAGAGAGAGAGCACATGAGAGGGGGGAGGGTCGGGAGGGTCAGAGGAAGAAGCAGACTCCCTGCCGAGCAGGGAGCCCGATGCGGGACTCGATCCAGGGACTCCAGGATCATGACCTGAGCCGAAGGCAGTCGCTTAACCAACTGAGCCACCCAGGCGCCCCGAATTTGCTATTTTAAATAGTGCTGGCAGGGAAGTATTTATGATAAGATGCCATTTGAACAGAGACCCACAGGAAGTAAGGGAATGAGCCAAAGCTCTCTGTCGGGAAAGGGTTTATAGACAGAGGAAGCACAAGTGTAAAGGCCCTGGGACAAATGTGGCATGTTTGAGGAAGTTCAGGGGAAGGCAGGGAGACCAGTGCATCTACTAGAGCAAATGGACGAAGGGGAGAGTGACAGCATTTGGGGGAGGGGGGTGATGGGTTGTGTGGGGCTTGTAGGTCCATTTAAGGACTTGGCTTTTACTTGGGGAGTAATTGTGAGCCATTGGAGGGTTTAGAGCAGAGGACAAATGGGATCTGACTTACGGGGTTTGTTTTTTTGTTGTTTTTTTTTTTGTTTTTGAGGGAGGGAGAGAGAGAATCTTGAGCAGGCTCTATGCCTAGCGCAGAGCCCAGTGTGGGGCTTGATCCCAACACCCTGAAATCGTGACCTGACTTGTGTTTTAAAGAGATTCCCTCTGACTGCTGTATTGAGAATAGACTGCAGGAAGGCAAGGGGGAAGGACAGTCCTGTGGGGAGGCCATAATTCAAGGGAAAGGATGACAGGGGTAGCAGGAGTGGTGACAGAGGTTGTGAGGAGTTGGAAGTGGTGCATTGTTGAGTGTAGCTAGCATGCAGTGAGTGTGAAGAGGAAAAGACAAGTCATTGAGTCGCCAGGTGGGGAGCCCCAGAAAGGAGGTGGTTGCTGATGGCAGTTGGGAGCTTGGCTTCAGTTGTGTTTGAACAGTCGGTGTGATAGGAGTCTGGAGTTGAGGAGAGAGGTCAGGTGTAGGGGCTACTGGAAGCTCTTGAGGTCGAATGGGATCTCCTAGCAAGCAGACATTAGAGGCTTACAGAGACTGGTAGTCTGAACCCCCTCCCGAGGGTTGGTGGAGTTAACAGCCTCCATTCCTGGGGGTCTGGAAGGCATTTTCCAACCCACATCACTGCCCCTACACAATGTGGGAAGTTGTCCCAGGTACCATGCTGGTCTTACAGGCCCCACAAAGGCTTCTGGGAGCCGGTGTCCCAGCCTTGGGGCGATGGGAGTTCTGAGGAGCTGCAGTTCTGGTTCTCACGGATGCTGGGAGCTGTGGTCACCACCCTGAGCCTCCTGTCCCTCCCACCTCCCTTTCCCTTCTCCCTGCCCCTGCAGGTATCATGGCTGGGTGAGGAGCCGGTGGCTGGTATATGGTCAGAGAAGGGCCAGGTGGAGGTGTTTGCACTGCGGCGGCTTCTGCAGGTGGTGGATGACCCCCAGGCCTTGGCGACCTTCCTCCGGGACGAGCAGGCCCATGTGAAGCCCATCTTCGCTTTCGCGGGCCACATGGGCGAGGGTTTTGCACTGGACTGGTCCCCCCGGGTGTCTGGTGAGTCTCCGGGGGGTGAGAGGGAGCAGGGTCTGTAGGAAGAGTGGGGGCTAAGAGTACAGGGAGGAGAGGGAGCTGTGGCCAGCCACGCCCAGGCAGTTTCCTGACTCCTGGTTCTAGGGCGACTACTGACTGGTGACTGTCAGAAGAACATCCACCTCTGGACGCCCACGGACGGCGGCTCCTGGCACGTGGACCAGCGGCCATTTGTGGGCCACACACGCTCTGTGGAGGACCTGCAGTGGTCCCCAACTGAGGACACAGTGAGGGAGGGCTGGGGGTCTGGACTCCTGGGTCTTGGGAGAGGAGGGGCCCGGGGCTAGGTCCCAGTGAGGGGGACACTGAAAAAAAGGGCAGCCCACCACTCATCCCTGGTCTCCAGGGTGAGGTGGCAGGCACCCCGGGGTCACTCAGACTCTGCGTGGTCTAGGTGTTCGCCTCCTGCTCAGCTGATGCCTCCATTCGCATCTGGGACATCCGGGCCGCGCCCAGCAAGGCCTGCATGCTCACTACCGCCGCCGCCCACGACGGGGATGTCAACGTGATCAGCTGGAGCCGCCGGGAACCCTTCCTGCTCAGCGGCGGGGACGACGGGGCCCTCAAGATCTGGGACCTGCGGCAATTCAAGGTATTTCCCCAGCTGGACATTTCCCCAGCCCGGGGAACGCCTACTCCCAGCAGCCGCTAGGATTCGCAGGTTTCCCTCCTTAGGTGCTTGTCTGTACCAGAGCTGGGAAGGCCTGTCGAGTTGGGGTCCAGCCCTTTTGGGGGGCAGATGAGGAATTGGGCTCAGTGGAAGGAAGGCTGTGACTGGTGTAGGGTTGCTCACTCCCCTAGCTGGAGAGGTGACAGGAGACAAGAAGCTGAGTGGCAGCCTCGATTCCCAATTCCCGTCTACCCGCTGGTGAGCCGGGCAGCTGACTGCAGCCCGAGGCTTCAGGCACCTCAGAGTTGTAGACTCTTTGTTAGCGAACTTTGTAGAATCAGCTGAGAATCGGAGGCCACGTCGTTGGTTACAGGAGAGGAAACAGGTACAGAAAGGACAGGAGCAGAGGTGACATCACCACCCAGCCAAGAATTGACTTCATAGAGCCGAGAGGGGTTCTGGGCAGGAGGAATTGCAACTCTGGCATCCCTCTGGCCAAAGCCACCATTAAATACGGCTCTGTGCCTTCCCGGGCCCCCCACAATGTAATCTTTTCTCCCCTCTGGTATGATGAGTTCTATAGCGTCAGCCTGAGGAAGCTTCTAGAAACAGGTTCCAGCCCCCAAGGCAGGTGTATGGGCAGCATCCATGACCAAGTTGATTGGCCACTGGAACTTTGGACCCACGTCTCCAATTCAGAGAGACTCCGGTTCCCAGCAGCACCTTTGCTTTAGTAAAAGTGCTGTGTATCTTTTCCTCGGCTGCCGTTGGAACCTGGGAGCTGTGCTTCTGCCCTCTTTAAGGCCTTCATAGAATCAGCAGGTTTGAGAAGTACCCCCTTCTTTTTTTTAAGGTTTATTTATTTAGAGAGAGTGCACGCACGAGCGGGGAGAGGGGCAGAAGAAGAGGGAGGGAGAGCAGACTCAGCTAAGCGTGGAGAGCAGACTCTCAGCTAAGCATCAAGCCCAATGTGGCCTCGATCTCAGGACCCTGAGATTATGACCTGAGCTGAAACCAAGAGTCAGTGCTTAACCAACTGAGCCACGCTGGGGCCCCGAGAACCACCCCTTTTTATAGGAAGGGAAACTGAGGCATGCCCAGGGAGGACCAGCGGTGGGGATTTTGTGACCTGGAGCTGGAAGGGGCTTCTTTGCAGGTGAAACCACGGTTCCCAGCAGCCCCTAGGATGTTAGGCCCCATATCACCAGTTGTGCTTGGCCCTCTGTCCCCTTCAGAGAACCTGGGCCTGTGGGGGTCTCAGGGGTGGCGCCCTGGTGGAACCCGACGGCCGGAGAGTGGCAAGGGCTCGGCTTGGGTCACCCGAGGGACTCAGGCTGAGGTGCTCAGAGCCCCGGACTCCCTTCTTCCCGTAGTCTGGCTCCCCGGTGGCCACCTTCAAGCAGCACGTGGCCCCCGTGACCTCGGTCGAGTGGCATCCCCAGGATAGCGGGGTCTTCGCGGCCTCGGGTGCAGACAACCAGATCACACAGTGGGACCTGGCCGTGGAGCGCGACCCCGAGGCAGGCGACGCAGAGACCGTGGACCCCGGGCTGGCGGACCTCCCCCAGCAGCTCCTGTTTGTGCACCAGGGCGAGACCGACCTGAAGGAGCTGCATTGGCACCCACAGTGCCCCGGGCTCCTCGTTAGCACCGCCCTGTCGGGCTTCACCGTCTTCCGCACCATCAGCGTCTGACCAGCCCCACCTGGCCTTTCCCCTGGCCACCGAGGTTGGCGTTGGTTCCGCCAGGAGGGACTCCTTCAGGTCAGCTGACCAGCCCTCCTCCGATAGAAGGGCTTGGCCTGTCAGCCGCCATGACGGATTGTTTGACATTTTGTTCTTTGAAAGGACTTGATTTGGTCCCACGACCCCTCTTGCCAAACGATCTGGTTTGACCCATGACTGTAGAACTACTTGGTTCAGTCCAGGGAGCCTTCCAACCACAGGGCTCGGTTTGGCACCGGGGACCCCTCCTGCAGAAAGACTTGGTTTGGCCCAGGCTGCCCCCCCCACCCCCCCCACCTGTTTGAGGACCTGCTGGCCTGTTTCCCAGTGTCACTGTGGATGTTTTGTGCGCTCTGGCACCTGGCTTGACCCTTTGACCTCTCCATCCCAGGACCCAGTTGTGGCCTCTGGTCTTCCCCCCCCCCCCCCCCCCGGGAACTCGAGCACTTTACAGTGGGTGGGCTGAAGTTGAGGGGTGGGCTGGGCTCCTCCAGCAGAATCTGGTTTTGCCCGTTGTCTTCCTGCCAAACAGGGTTTGGCCCGGACTTCCCAGTGGGGGGCTGTGGGGGTCTTCCTCCCCTCCATCCTGCATCCAAGGCAGGCGCTGTGCGGGGAGGAAGGTCCGGGGCTCCTGAGGCAGTAAAGGACCAGAAGGAGGCCTGATGTGTGTGGGACTCATCTGCTGGCTGCTTCTCTGTGAAGAAATGGGAGGAGGAGGCGGGAACCGGGCCCCCACCCCAGCTGTTCAGAGGCCACCGAGCTGGGAGAGGCCAGTGGGAATCCCTGCTTCCTGTGGTCTCTCAGCCCCCATCAGGTGCTGTTCAGATCCACCTGCCTCAAATTTTATTCCATGTGGACCTCAGTCCAAGTCTCTGGAGGGGTAGCTCACCTGTGTCCCCCTAACTTTTTAAGGCTTCATCTCAGAAGGAACCAGGGAGGCTCCCCCCATTTCTCTGTCTTTCCACCTCTGTCCCCTTTATCTCTTTGTTCCCTCATCTGTGTCCCCACCTCCCCGTGTCTCCCTGCCCCCTCCCCCTTCTGTGTCTGCCACCGCATCTCCTCCAGCCTGCTTGGGCTGCGGCCCAGCTGCCCTGCCTGGCCATCCTCCCTGGCTCCCCCTCTGCGGCTCTGAGCTGGCCCCACCCCCTGCCCCCCCTCAGCCAGGCCTCTGATCCGCCTGTGGACACAGAGGTCGGGCGCCCGGCACAAGGCCCCCGGGGCCCAGGACGCATCACTGCCCCTCAGCACCCACAGAGGCCTCCCTGCGGCCCTAGCAGAGGATCCCCCGGCGGAGGGCATGGGGGTGGGCTGCCCCACCAGGTATGTGCCTCCATACAGAGACCCCGGGGGTGGGGGGGGCTCCCGCACCTCCCCCCACACCCCTACCCTGCACCCTCCTTGCTTGGGCTCCTCTGCTCCACATTCCCCATCCTCAGTGTTCCCCCCAGGAAGGTCCTTCCTCACCCTCGGTGACCAAGTCCAGCCCCCAAACAACCTCTCCCCCTGGTTGGGTGCCTCCGTCTCTGACCCTGTCTCCATCTGCCTTCTGCTCCCTTGTCCCTGTCATCGCAAGCCTCTCTCGCCCTTCTCTGTCCACAACTCCAGCTCCCTGCCGTCCCATTTCCTGACACATCATCTCCCCTTCCCAACTTTTCCTAGTCAGCCTGTCTCTCCTGTCCCCTCCCGCTCTCTATCCACTCCTGCTATGTCTCTGTCCCCTCTCTCTAGGTCTCTGACACCCCCCCCCCCAGGTATCTATGCATCCCACCACCACCCGGTCTCTGTCCCCCTCCCTCTGGATCCCTGTACCCTGTGCGGGGTCTTTCCCTCTCTCTAGGTTCCCCATCTCAGAACCCTTCCTGTCCACTCTGAGCCTCTGTCCCCTCACACCCTAGCCCCCCACTCTGTCGATCTCTGCCCTTCAACCTGCTGTTCAGACCCTGTTGGTAGATGGGGAAAAAGCAGGGGCGGGGGTGACACCCAGGGTCTCCGGAAGTGTGAAAGTGCTCCTTTTTGAGGGGGAGGGAGGTTGGGGCCTGGGGGTGGAGCTTCTTGGCCTCAGATTAGACAGTGACTTTGACACCCAAGTTGATACACCTTAAGCCCCGTGTCTCCTTTATATGGAAACATTAAGCTGCTCTGGCAGGTCAGGGGGAGGACTTGAGACTCTGGATCCTTTTCCCTCCTGTCCTGCCTTCGCAGGGGCGGGGTGGGGGGAGGAGGCCTTGAACCCGTGTCCCATCCACCCTCTGTGAGCTGGGCCATGTTGGATGCAGACATGGCCCTCTGGAGGTGAAGAACTCCATCAACTTTGTGAAATGGACACAGCCATTTCCACCTCACAGGGCTGAGGTGGGGGGATTGATGAGGCAGAAGCCTGCATTGGAAAGGCTCAGGACCCAAACCGGCACCCCAACCTTAGCACTGCGTGGGTCTGGCCAGGTCTCCTACCCTGTTCCCCAACCTGTGAAGTGGGGCAGTGATCTTGACCTCCCAGTGTCCTGGACAGTCAAGGTGAGGTGAGCAGTGGGGTCTGGCGGAGTCCAGTGGGCAGGCTGCAGGCATCCCCTGAGCCCATACAAGGCCCAGGACTTAGTAGGTGCTCAGGAACCTGATCAGGAACCCTGATAAGGTTGTCCGTGGGTCATCGCCCAGGCTCTGGCACCTGAGAAGCCTGGATGGGTGCCTGAGTCAAAGACCTCAGTGCCTCAGTTCACTTTTCTGTGAAAAACAGCCCCCCGCCCCACGCATCCAAGGGTTGTGGTTAGAGATGGGTGAGTGGGTATGGAAGGACCCAGCCTGCGGACCACCTCCCCTACCCTGTTGGTGGCTCCTGATGGGACCAGCACATAGTGGGGCCTTCTGGGGAGGAGAGGGCTGCAAATGCAAATACAGAGCTTGGATTCAAACCTGGGCCCTTCAACCATTAGCTTCAGTTAACCCCTTTCTGGAAGAATGATCTCCCAACTCCCAGGGTTGTTGAGGGTGAGAAAAGAGTCAAGGTTGGGGCACGGTGTCGATGCTCAGCACGGTCAGGCCCAGTCCACTCTGATCTGAGCTGCAACTTTGCATCCTTAGAATGCAACACGCAAAGCTGTCCAGGTGCAGAGCTTAGTGAGGCGGGGAGGGTAATGTGGGGACCCACTGATGTTGAACTTAACGACTAACAGCCCTCTCATTTTGAGCACCCCTGGCCCTGCCAAGAAGCCCATGGGGATCCCAGAGCTTGGTGCAGGGGCCACACAGTACATGGGTGCTTGGTAAATACTGATGGGACTGACTGTCACATATCTAAACTCTAGCCGCCTCTGCAGCTCCTGGGGTAGGGGGTTATGAAGTCCCCGGGTCCATGCATTGTGCTTTCCTTCCTCTCTTCTCCACCCTGTTGAGCAGCCGAGATTCTACTTCCCAGAGAAGGGAGCTGAGGTTCAGGCAGGGATGGGACTTGCCACCAGTCCTACAGTTAGGAAGTGACAGAGCTCGGATTCAACCCAGAACTGCCTGATTCAAAAACCCAGGCTCTTTCCACAGACGAGTCTCCAGAAAAGGAAGCCAGTGGTCCTAGGGCACATAGTGGGTCAGCCACTGAGCCAGGATTGGGCCCTTGATCTAAATGGGAGACTTCCTGACCTTGAAGAAGTCCAATTTCCCCCCTTTTACAGTTGAAGAAACTACTTAGATTTGCCTAAGATCTGAGGGTCAGGGCTGAGCTTGGGTTTTGTTTTGGTTTGTTTTTTTTGTGGGGTTTTGTTTTGTTTTGTTTTTGGTGGTGGTGGTTGTAACTATTCGTTAAAATAGGAGTTTAAAAAAGGGCGCCTGGCTGGCTCAGTCAGTGGAGTATGCGACTCTTGATCTCGAGGTCATGAGTTCGAGCCCTAGAATACAACCCACACACTAAGTATACAATTCAGTGTTTCTTAGTATTTTCATGGAGTTGTGCCACCATCACCACAATCAGTTTTCAAACACTTTCATCACCCCAACAGGAAGACCTGTGTCCTCTGGCTATCACTCCCCACCCAATCCCCCCACCTCCCAGCCCTAGGTACAACTAGTCTCCTTTCTCAATGTTGTACAGATTTGCCCATCTGGACATATAAATGAAAGTATACAATATGTGGTCCTTTTTTTTTTAAAGATTTTTTTTTTTAAGATCTTATTTATTTATTTGACAGAGAGATACAGCGAGAGAGGTAACACAAGCAGGGGGAGAGGGAGAAGCAGGCTTCCTGCCAAGCAGGGAGCCCAATGCGGGGCTCGATCCCAGGACCCTGGGATCATGACCTGAGCTGAAGGCAGACTTTTAATGACTGAGCCACCCAGGTGCCCCAACATTTATTTATTTATTTGAGAGAGGTGGGGGAGAGGGAAAGTCTTAAGTAGATGCCATCCTCAGTGAGCCCAACCTGGGGCTCACTCTCACGACCCTGAGGTCAGACCTGAGCCAAAACCAAGAGTCAGATTCTTAATCAACTGAGTCACCCAGGTGCCCCAAAATGTGTCTTCTGTATCTGGCTTCCTTCACTTAGCATGATGTTTTCAAAGTTCATCCATGTTGTAGCGTGTCAGCGCTTTGTTTTCTTGCTGGGTAGCACGTCACTGTGTGGATATATCACATTTAGTTATTCATTCGTCAACTGATGGCTATTTGGGTTGTTTCCATCTGTTGGTGGCTATCTCTAATAACATGGTCATGAACATTTGTGTACCAGTGGTTTGTGTGGACGTTTGTTTCTAGGGGATACCTAGAAGTGGAATTGCTGGGTCAGAGGGTAGCTATGTTTAACCATTTAAGGAACTGCCAGACTATTTTTCCCAGCATCTGCACCATTTTACATTCCACCAGTAAGTAATGTACGATGGTGCCAACTTCTCCACATCCTTGTCAACACAGGTTATCTTTCCGAGTGGATGGAAAATAGCGTTTCATGGTTTTGATTTGCATTTCCCTGATGGCTAATGACATCAAGCATCTTTTTAGGTGCTTTATGAGCTTATCTTATTGGCTACTTGTATATTTTTCTTAGAGAAGTGTCTCCTCGGATCCTTTGTGAATTTTTTTTTAAGATTGATTGGTTGATTTGAGAGGGAGAGCACAGGAGGGAGGGACAGAGGGCGAGAGAGAGTCTTAAGCAGACTCCGCACTGAGCGCGGAGCCTGACGCAAAGCTCTATCTCAAGACCCAAGATCACTACCTGAGCTGAAACCAAGAGTTGGATGCTTAACCAACTGAGCCACCCAGGTGCCCCTCCTTTGCCTATTTTTAAATTGTGGTGTCTTTATTATTGAGTTGTAAGGGGTGTTTAGATATTTTATTTATTTTTTTTTAAGATTTAAAAAAATTTATTTGAGAGCAAGCGAGCACGAGTGGGGGGCAGAGGGAGAAGGAGAAGCAGACTCCCCACTGAGCAGGGACTCTGATGTGGGCCTCCATCCCAGGACCCCAAGATCATGACCTGAGCTGAAGGCAGACGCTTAACCAACTGAGCCATCCAGGCGCCCGTTTAGATATTTTAGATAAAAAACTTCTTACATATATGATTTGCAAACAATTTCTCCCATTGGTGGCTTGTTTTTTCACTTTCTTGATAGTGTCCTTCGAAGCCCAAAAGTTTTTTTCTTTTAAAGATTTTATTTTTAAGCAATCTCTATACCCCATATGGGGCTTGAACTCACAACCCCAAGATGGAGAGTCCCACGCTCCAGGGACTGAGCCAGCCAGGTGCCCTTCAGAAGTCTTTCATTTTGATGAAGTTCAATTCACCCACCATTTTCCCTTTGTTGCTTCTGCTTTCTGAGCCTGTTTTCGAGCCATAGATGGCCCGGGTTCATCTCTCCATGCGGATTCCAAGTTGAGAAACAGTCACCACTCTATGGACTCTGGATTGGTGACACTCAAATCCTAGTTTACTCACCTCTGACCTTGGGCAAGTTAAACGTTTTGTGCCTCCGTTTTCTCATCTATAAGATGGGGATGATAACGGTGTTGGGCTCAAATATGTAAATTCCTGTAAAGCGCTCAGAACGGTGTCTGGCGCCGTGCAGATGTCTGCTCTAATTACTGTGGTGCTTGCCATAATATTATCACGGCCCTGACTTCGTTGCTACACAAGCATCTCCTATAATATCATGGTCCTCGATGCTGTACTGTTCCGACTTCCAGCGTGAGTGCTAGGCCGCCCATTTGCCAGATGAGGCCACCGCGGCCCAGGGAACACGCCTGGCTGAGGAGCCCACCATTCCTGGCACCCCTGACGTTGCTGCCCGTCTCTCGTCTCCGCAGGTTCGGGGCGCCCGCCCCCCACTAGGCCAAGTGGAGGGGGTGCCCCCGCCCAATGGGCCTGGCCTGGGCCCTGCGCCGCCTTAGCGGCGCCCTGGAGCCAGGGGAGGGCCGCGCCGGCGACGAGGAGGAGGCCGGGCCGGGGCTGTGCCGCAACGGGTGGGCGCCGTCGCCGGCCGGGCGGCGCCGCGGGCGCTTCGTCAAGAAGGACGGGCACTGCAACGTGCGCTTCGTGAACCTGGGCGGCCAGGGCGCGCGCTACCTGAACGACCTGTTCACCACGTGCGTGGACGTGCGCTGGCGCTGGATGTGCCTGCTCTTCTCCTGCTCCTTCCTCGCCTCCTGGCTGCTCTTCGGCCTGGCCTTCTGGCTCATCGCCTCGCTGCACGGCGACCTGGCCGCCCCGCCGCCGCCCGCGCCCTGCTTCTCGCAGGTGGCCAGCTTCCTGGCCGCCTTCCTCTTCGCGCTGGAG